GACTTTGTAAACCAGAGATCTGGGTAGAGTCGTGAGGAGCAAGAAGTAGCTGATCTAATCGTACATGGTGGAAGGAGCAGCACTTCCCTTCCCTGGCCTGGTTTGGGCCCTGCTCACAGCTGGGTTTTGGTCTGTAAAAGACATACATGATTGCAAGTTTCTTCTCCCTTGAGCCTGAGGGTGCCAGAGGAAGGGGAGCTGGCAGAGTATTGTGGTAGGGTTTCTTCCGTGCCACCCCTAGGGTGGAAGTGAAGAGCTGTCTTGCGGCGCTGCACTGTTCTGTTGCAGCATTGGTCCGGATAACTCACAACCCGTTGCAGTTTTCCTTTTCAAATCAAAGCACTGCTAAGAACTGGCCGTAGACGTTGCCACTGTGAAAAGTGGTAACTTCTGGTTGGGTTTTTGCACCGCGACTGACATGTGAGGGATGAAGGGCTGGGGGGTTCCCATGTTGGATTATGTTGTCCACACAAGCTGCTGTTTCAGAGGTGCAGCGTTAAGTCGTGCAGGTCACAGAGCCACGGGCCCCATGCGGGGACACTGCTCTTGTTTTTTCAGTGCAGATTGGTTTTCTCTGCACACCTTAAATTGTGCTGCAGTGGAAATTGTTAAACCATCTGTCACTGACACTGGGAGCTTAATAAAGCAAATTAATTCCACGCTGGGTGGAAGATGACGTATAAAATGACCCTGAGAGAACACATTGTGGCTGTTAAACCCTGTGTTTGTCCAATTGTCATAATGCAGGGTTTCGTTTTCAGTTAGAGTTGCATGTGGAAGGAGAGAACAACCTGTTACCCATAGCTGTGGCTGCACGAGCACCTAAGTTGTGACGGCCAAGGGTCGGAATTCTGTTTCCTTAGGGCAATTCTGACATCAGGGTGTTGAATCTTCCAGCTGAAGATGAAGGCTCAGTGTGGTGGAAGTGCTGGGTTATGCTGGTTGAGCAGTGGTGGCTGGAGCGCTCTTGGATGCGCTCCAGCGGGATCCTGGGGTCTATGGATGCTTTGGCTTATGTTTGGATTAGTCCCAAACAAGTAGATGTGGTAAATAAATCATGTGCCCTTTCCTAATGTGCTTTCCAAGACGAGTGTCTGAGTGTGAAGAAGCTGCAGGATGGGCAGAGGAAAGCAGCAGTTTGGGAAAACCTTTATGTAGGTGGGAACCGAGCTGTCAACCGCATTCCCTGGTGCTGCTGGGGCAGGAGGCGAGAAGGGCAAGTGCCCCCCTGCCAGGGCATATCCCAGCTTCTGGCTGCTTCCAGCAGGGACACCACACACTGAACTGTCATCCACGCCTCTGTCCAACCTGGCCGTGAACGCTGCCAGGGATGGGTCAGGGTGTGAGAGCTGTGACATGGTGCCACCACACCGTGGTCCTGAGCCAGGCTTCCTGGGCTGTGCGTGAGGAATGTTCCCCAGAGCATGAAGCGATTAACATCTGCCTTGTGCCTGCTGGAGCCCTGGGGACCGGCTCCGCTCCGGCTCCCGCGGCTCTGGATGCGCCGTGCATCCTCCATGGAAACCGGGCGGCGTCAGCGCACGAGCTGCTCCAAAAGCTCTTAATTGCTGGCACACACAGTTTTCCTCAGCTGGAAACATCACAAGAGGGGAGGGACTTGTCCCAGTGGAGAGAAGCAAATTGCAGTGACAGGGACAGACTGAGCCCCATTGGCTTTCGTGGTGCGTGTCTGGATGGATGCTGGTGGGCACCGGGTTGTGTCTGTGCACTGAAGGACAGTGTATGTGCTCAGCACGTCTTACCCCTGCAGACACAAGTCTCTTTGCATGCAGGAGGGCTGCACCCAGTGCTGGCTCACTGGGTGACTTTGGGGGCAGCCCTGGTGGGTGCCAGCATGGCTGTGCCAGGCTCCAGCGCTGGGAAATGGGTGATGTGAGGAAGTGGAGGGTTTCTGAGTGTGCATCTTCCCTTAACTTAAAGGGAAGTTTTTCACTGTTTTAAATTCTCCTCTCCTCCCCAGTGCTGCTCTTGAAAATCTCAGTCCTTGGTGTTACTTCTGGGCAGCTCATCAGCTGTGTGCAGCCACCTAAGACCTATTGCGGTCAATGGATTGCAAGGAAGTGTGTGCTGAAGGACTTCGTCAAATTGTGGAGTTGAAACTGCCATTATCATGAATGGATGTTCATGTGCAATTCTGAAATACCCCAGGAAAGCTTTCCTTTATTTTAGAACCATAGAATCCCAGCCTGGTTTGGGTTGAAGGGACCTTAAAGCTCCTCCAGCTCCAACCCCTGCCCTGGGCAGGGACACCTTCCACTAGAGCAGGTTGCTCCAAGCCCCTGTGTCCAACCTGGCCTTGAACACTGCCAGGGATGGGGCAGCCACAGCTTTTCTGGGCACCCTGTGCCAGCGCCTCAGCACCCTCACAGGGAAGAGCTTCTGCCCAAGAGCTCATCTCAGTCTCCCCTCTGTCAGGTTAAAGCCATTCCCCTTGTCCTGTCCCTCCATCCCTTGTCCAAAGCCCCTCTGCAGGTTTTAAGGCCCTGAACAAGGAGATGACTCTAACACAATGTCCGTGCTCCTCCATGCGGTTGCTGCTCCGGGTCGGTGTTCCCAGAGGTCTCATGCTCTTTGCGAATCTCCAGCAGAAGTTGTGAGCTCTCACTTGGGAATCACTTGAAGGACTCTGGGGCTCTGGACTCCCAGCCTGTAGCTGTCCTGCCAGATTGCAACCAGGATTCCAGCTTGTCCTGTGCTTGATTATCCTCCTAAAAGAAATATCATGGGTAGCCTTGGGCAATCCTGGCTTATTTACAGCTTGCTGCATCCTTGTGTGCTGTGGGGCTGCTTGGGAATAGAGCAGCTTTGCTCCCAAGGTTCTTTTTTCCCCTTTTTTCCCTTACTTAGAGGTGACAGTTTTCATTCCGAGCCTCACCAGCCTCGATAGCACATCCCTTCATGCTTCCTGCCCTCACTAATTCTAACTCCTGAGCAAGCCCACATAAAATATGGGATTGCTGCTCGTGGATTCAGGCTGAATGTATTCACAGCCTGTCTCCGGGGAAGGGGGTGAGTTATGGAAAGGCAGCAGAGCGTCGATGAAATCCATGCTGAGCATGGTCCAGGACACATCCAGGCTTGTCGCAGCAGGTCCGGGTTTGGGATGCTGCAGGCTGTGCTTTAGAGGAAACCTGCTCTCTCAGAGGCATGGAAAGCCCCTCTGCTGAAAGGCTTTGGGTAACCCGGTGGTGTCAGACCTTGAAGCACAAGATGAGCCTTGTGCAGGGAGTTTCCAGTGGTCTCGTGGCAATAAAGTCATCGAGGCCTCTCGGATGCTCTAAGTGCTGCTGCTGGTTTGTGTCTGGCACCACAGGCTGATGTGACCAGTGTCCCTGCGCTGGAGCCTCACCTCTGGTACCTCATGGGGATGCTCCTCAGCCGTGTGTCCTCGCAGGCTGCCCACAGAGACCTGCGGTGCAGGGGGCTCAGTCCTGTCCTTGCAGCAGGTTATTTCCCATGAGGAGACCCAGAGGTGGCTGCTGGGCTTTACCAGGCACCAGGGAGCTCCTGGGTTAGTTTAGCTCCTTGTGCTTAATCCTTTTTAATAGGTTTTCTTAGCCCACTTGTGAGTTCACATCAGGGTTACACAAGTCCTTGCTTCCATCGCACGAGTACAGGAGCATTAACTCTGCTGTTGATGCTCCTGTAGCTCTGTTAATGCAGACTGTTCTAGTTGGACACTGAAGGTGCTGTTGTCTGAAGTACCTGGTTTGGGCTTGATGCATCCACAGGGGATGGGGATGGGATGCAGGGGGCTGTCCCCAGAGGCACTTGCTGCCTGTCTGCTGGGGCATGGCTGCGGCTCAGTAGCTTCAGCTTTGTGCTCTGGGTTTCCCTCCCCTCCTTGCCCTGCTCCACGGGGCACTGGGTGCCGTGGTGGGGATCACATCCTGACACTCCGTTTCCAGGGTGTCAGTGGGCCCCTGCAGCCGGTGCCATGGTCCTTGGGCAGATGGGAGGTGGGAGCATGGCTCAGGCACTCGCTTGGGGCTGCTGCAGAGAAACCATCTGCAAACGCATGTTCCCGGTGCCTCATCAGAGCCTCTTCAGGCTCCCCCAGCACTTCCTGCTCTGTCCCTGTGTCCTGGAGGAAGGCAGCCGCCACCCCCAGAGCCTTACTGCAAACCCAACGTGTCACCCGCCTCCTGCAAACCCATTCATCGCCTCTCTCGGCCATTCTAAACCCTGGCTTGCATTTGGGAAGCTCCGTGAGCTGCCTCTCTGCAATGGGGTTGTGTTTTCCCATCATTTGTTAACGACGTTCCCATGTGTGACCTGCAGGTAAAGCCCATTTGTTGCTTTGCCTTCCAAAAGGATATTCCCCAAGCAAACCCACACGTGGACAGGCACCGAATGGCATTTGCTGGGGGCTGGGGTGCCTTGACTGGGTTTGCAGCGGCTGATGTGTTTGTACCACGTTGTGTGGTACAAATTGTACCACCTTGTGTGATTCTGCTGCTCTGAGCCATGGTTCCCACAGCGCTGGGTAAGAGCAGTGAGGAGTGAGCAGCAGAGATTTAGCTTCGGGCTCTGCCCGGGTGAAGCTGCTGGAAGCACGTGTGCTTTGAAGGGGCTGCCTGGCTTGGGTAGGCAAAGTCATGAATACTAGAAATAGGATGTGACTATTATGGGATATTTCCTTGCAAAACACTCAGCAGGTGGAGTTGGTCTTTTTGAAAGCAGGTTTTAGAGGCTGGGTTCTCTGCCTTGGATTGTGTTGGGATGCATTTCCTGCTCTGTGCCTTTGGTGGGCTTTGTGTTACCCTCCACTGCCTGTTACTGGTGCACAGAGGTGGTTTGGGGCAGCGATGTGGCATCCTGCGCAGGAAGCCTCTTGGCTGTAGGGACCATCTCTGCCATCACACTGCTGGGGTTGAGCTCAGGGTCTGTGCAGCCTCTTGTTCCTGCATTTCCCGAGAAGGCAGAGTTACCCAACACACGTTAACAGCTAAAGCCTGTCTCGTCTCTTCTGATTTCAGAATGTAACACAAACAGTAGAAGAAGAGAAACCGGAGCCCCCGACCATCCAGGAGATCAAACAGAGGATTGAGAAGTACAATGCGAAAGTTACAAACTGCCTATTGATGAAGCTGGTATGTATTGGGCTCTATTCACCTAATAAGCAGGGAATAAAACATGAGGAATACAGCTGGGAGATCCTGCTGACTGTGAGGGTAGCGACATTCCCAGAGGTTTCAAATGCTCACTTAAGTGCAACTACAAATTACATGTAATGGTTTCCATAACTGACTTGTAGCAGCGTTGGTTTTAAATAAGACACGAGGGAGGGATGAGTCAGTACAGAGGGGAAGGAACAGGAAAAAATCAGTAGTGCCTAACCCGAAATGATGGGTTACTTCTTACGTGATTGATAAGAAACCCTCCAACTCCCAGCAGGACCGAGGTCCTGCAGTCACTCTCTAGGCTAGAAAACCCCTAGTAGGAGTTGGGAAGGCCTGGAAAGACTCCCAGGAGCCTGACCCCCCTCTCCTTTGCTTCAGAACGAGGATGGTACCTACACGGGATTCATCAAAGTGCATTTGAAGCTGCGGCGCCCTGTGACGGTGCCGGCGGGGATCCGGCCACAGTCCATCTACGATGCCCTCAAGGAGGTGAACCTGGCTGACATGACGGACAAGAGAACCTCCTTCTACCTGCCGCTGGATGCCATCAAGCAGCTGCACATCAGCAGCACGACCACGGTGAGCGAGGTGATCCAGGGGCTCCTCAAGAAATTCATGGTGGTGGATAACCCCCAGAAGTTTGCACTTTTCAAGGAGATGCGGAAAGATGGGCAAGGTGAGTCCGTGCTCTGAGCCAACAGCTTCCCCGCGGTACAGAGATGTACCTGAAGGCTTCTTATAGGACTTGGTGTGTCAGGAAGGCAAATGAATTGACCTGCTTGAGCGAGGTCCATGGAGCTGCTGCGAGGGCTGGAGCAGCCCTGCTCTGGAGCCAGGCTGACAGAGCTGGGCTGTGGAAGAAGGGCG